AGAGAGAGCGGTGGAGTTATGGCGTACATGCCCAGAATAACAAACAGCCGAGTTGGCTCAGTGATTCACTTTGGACAGAGGAACATACATCCTCCATCATTTCTCTACAGAGGAAAAGAGATTGAGAAGCACCACTTGAGTGGTAACTTGATAAGTCAGTACGACATATTCAAACTTTAAAAAGGAAAGAAAGAAGAAAAAATAGAGGAAAAGTTTAAATACTTTTACTTTAAATGCCCAGTTGTTACACCAGGACAGTTTTTACCCAAATATTGGTACTACAGTTGATTTTAGATGATATAAGGATAAAACATTTTAAATTGTAACACATTAGTACTTATTTTGCTACTAAGTAATGAAAAAGTATATAATTAGTATATCAAACCTGTCATTTCATGCATATTGTTGCCTAAGATGAGGTTAAGCATAAAAATAAGTCAATTAAAAAGGTATGATAGGACTTCCCTGGTGGCGCAGTGGTTGAGAGTCCGCCTGCCCATGCAGGTGACACGGGTTCGTGCCCCGGTCCGGGAAGATTCCACATGCCGCGGAGCAGCTGGGCCCGTGAGCCGTGGCCGCTGGGCCTGCGCATCTGGAGCCTGTGCTCCGCAACGGGAGAGGCCACAGCAGTGAGAGGCCTGTATACCGCAAAAAAAAAAAAGCTATAATAAATAAGTGTATATGGGTGGTAGACAGCAAAAATTTGTGAAAGTGGTAGGGGGATGACTCAAGTGTGGGAAATGTTATACCTGTCTAAGTCAAAGCAGAGAAAAATGCTACATCTTTATTTTATAAAGATGAAGAGCAACAAAAATTTCACATTTCAAAACTAAGTTTCTCAATTTGTTGAACACTAGAGACTTCTGCTCATATATTTCTACCACTTGAAGTTGTTAGATCTGAGTTAATTTCCAAAACAACTGTCCAGTTTTTAAAAAATCAAATAGAAGAAAGCAAAATAACTAAACAACAGAAATTTATAATTACAATTTCAGCATCAATCCAATTACAGGTAATCTAATTTTCCAGCAACTGTATGTCATGATCAAAATATAACAGCAGCTCATATTTTCAACTTGATTACCTAAGTGGATATCATCCACCTAAATAGGCCAGAAAATAAAACCTTTTGAGTCAAAGACAAACAGAAAATCATTAAAAAATAAAAGTGCTTTGTCTATTGTATATATAGCTCATCTCTCCCATAGACGTTAAGATACAAGAATTTGCTTGGACAATAAAACCCATGGCATTTGTTAACTATGATTTTAAATCATTCCTGATACTTCTCCAAGTATCTCAAAAATTCTTCCAAAACTCTATTGCAAAACTCTATAATGCAAAAAATAAGCTTTAAAATGCCTGCTGTCAGATTATATTTTCTCTCCTTTACAATCTATTTATCATGAGACCACAGTTTTAGTTGAACTCTCTGCTTTATAATTTGAATAAGTACAGTTCTCCTGGATTTAAGCAAAATATATGAGACTGGACTTTTATGCTCCAAAATGTATTTTCTTAAGTTAACAGGATTTTTCTTCCTGGAGAAGGTACCATTTCTTAAAATAAAATAAAACAAAATAGAAACATTAGTCATTGAAATTCAACCTATTACAGGTTGGTTTTCTCAATGGCCCCGTGTGCTATTGTTCAGTTACAGAAATGATGCTTTCAAGATCTATAGGAAGTCAGCAAACTATAGTTCTGAATCCCTTATTTATTAGTTTACTGCTAATAAAGTAAACTTCAAAGTTCCTATGGGGTAAGAAAGCTCCTGATGTCAGATAATCACAGAGAAGGATCTGAAAGTATCCTTGAGGATCAGGTTTTATATACATATCTTCATCATAAATAAGGTCTCTAAGAAATATTCTTATCCACTAACTACAATAGTCTCTCTTTTTCTAGAATAGTATGACATAATAGTAAAAGATGCCAAGTGTTGAAAGTGTTGGTTTGAATTCCAGCTCTCTGTTCCTCATCTGTAGAAAAAGGATTATAATAGTACCTGCCTCATAAGGTTACTGTGAGGATTAAAGAGTAAATGCATACAAAGAACTTAGAAAAGTGTCTACCACGCAGTTTATTCAGTAAATTAGCTTTCATCATAAGCACTAGCCCATCACTCACTACCCTTGTACAAGCTGCCAAGGACTTGACTGGAATCACTATTCTCAAAGACCCATTTCCTTGGAAATACTCTGGGGAAATACTAACAGGAGGTTTTATTTAAGGCAGCCAACGTGCACCCAATGTATGATGATTAGACTAGACTATCCTGGAGTCTTTCTCAACTTTGAAATTAAATTAATAAAGGGTGCTATAAAAGGAGAGTGAGGGCTTCCTTGGTGGCGCGGTGGTTGAGAGTCCACCTGCCGAGGCAGGGGACGCGGGTTCGTGCCCCGGTCTGGGAAGATCCCACATGCCGCGGAGCGGCTGGGCCCGTGAGCCATGGCCCGTGAGCCTGCGCGTCCGGAGCCTGTGCTCTGCAACGGGAGAGGCCACAATAGTGAGAGGCCCGCGTACCGCAAAAAAAAAAAAAAAAAAAAGGAAAGTGAACGGGCTTTCCTTTAATTTCCTACACCTGACCATTCTTGGTCTCACATCCCCAGTATTGTGCTCCTTAGCAGGATAAAAGGATTACTTACCTTTTAAAAGTGGCAGGAGGGCTTCCCTGGTGGCGCAGTGGTTGAGAGTCCGCCTGCCGATGCAGGGGACGCGGGTTCGTGCCCCGGTCCGGGAAGATCCCACGTGCCGCGGAGCGGCTGGGCCCGTGAGCCATGGCCGCTGAGCCTGCGCGTCCGGAGCCTGTGCTCCGCAACGGGAGAGGCCACAACAGTGAGAGGCCCGCGTACCAAAAAAATAAAATAAAAGTCAGGAGATACTCAGGAAGATCTCCAAAACCAGACTGAAGACTACACAAACCAAGACCGCCGCCGTGGGAACGGAAACACCAGCCCACGTGCCGGAAGCCAGCTCGCGCCGATGGCAGCGCGCCACTCCGCGTCCTACCGCGCGGAGGCCCGACGGGTGTCACCGCGAGATGAGCTCGCTGAAATGGCCGCAGCCAGTCAAGGAAACTTGGAGGTGAATTTTGAGTCACTGGACCTTGCAGAACTTGCTAAAAAGCAGCCAGGGTGGTGCAAGCTGTCTGGGCAGGAATCTGGGCCTTCAGCTGAAAAGTATAGCCTGGCAACCCAGCTGTTAATTGGAGGTGCCACTGGATGGTGCACGGGTTTCATATTCCAGAAGGTTGAAAGGTTGGCTGCCACAGCTCTGGGAGGTGGATTTTTCCTGCTTCGGCTTGCAAAGCATACTGGCTACATCAAAGTGGACGGGCAGCGGGTAGAGAGGGATATGAAGAAAGCCAAGGAACAGCTGAAGATCCGCAAGAGCAACCAGATACCTACGGAGGTCAAAAGCAAACTAGAGGAGGTGGGGTCGTTTGTGAAGAAGAATGTTCTAGTGACTGGTGGATTTTTCAGAGGCTTTCTGCTTGGTATGGCATCCTAAAGAGGATGACTTCACTTCCTTTTTCCTGGTTTTTCCAGCCAGCAGCTTCTTCACTCCATCATAGGATAGCAAGTCTCTCCTCTTGGTCCTCTTCTCCCATGCCTTCCTCCCTGCCGTGGCGTATCTGAATGGCTTCTGTAGGCATCTGTTGGTACAAGTGGATAAAGGCCCCACCATGACCTTGACGGCAACGGAAGAGACAGTAGACATTAAATCTTCTCCCACCACACTCCCCCCTTGACTAATCTCTAGGTCAGCAAGAATATTCCTTTCTCTTCTATGTAAGATACCAGAACAGGGTACAAGATGGCCCTGAACAGGGTACCATGGAGCATGAGTGGATCCTCAAAGGTTGTCCCAAACTTGATTAGGAAAAGAAATAACAAGCATGTAAGATACCTTACTATGTTCTGCATGGAAAGGAACTGAATACATTTGCCTTTAAGCATGAAAGATTTGGGTATCTTGGTGTCTACTTTCTTTTGTAGTGGATTTTATGTTACAGAATGAGAATTACTTCTACTGGCTCTAATTATCCTGACAAAATGGTAGCATGTGCACTACAGTTGAAATATCTGAATACAGAATGAACTTGTCCTAAAGATACATATGCTGAGCTGAAGGTATTGTGTTTGGTGGGAAGGTCTTTAGGGAAACCAACCAATAGATACATTTAGGATGGTCAGACTTAGTGACTCATTTAGAGGCATTCAGGTGTTATCTAGGGATGTTTTCCACCATACAGGATAATGCATCTCATGATTGTTTCCAAAGGATTTATTTATGGCAAAATCAGTGACGTTAGGTGGAAGAGGGAAGAAGCTCTTGGATTTTTATTTAATAGAAAAGGTTTTAAGCTTTGAAATGTGAAATATTCTTTCCCTCTTGTCAAAACATCAGGGGTAGCCGTAGCTCCTCTCTGCCAATTCTACTATTTCTCTATCCAGTTAGTATGAAATATATAACATTTGAACCAGAGCTTTACCTCTTGTCAAAACATCAGGGGTAGCCGTAGCTCCTCTCTGCCAATTCTACTATTTCTCTATCCAGTTAGTATGAAATATATAACATTTGAACCAGAGTTTTTAAATGGTGGCATTCCAAGCATTAAGAATTGAGAACAGTAGCAACAGCACATGTGAAATAAATTATTTTCATTATCCAAGGTAATCTGCTGTCTCAGAGTGACCCCAACTCTTAGAATTTTTCTTTAAAAGTTTATAGATATACACATGCTTAGAAACTTAACACATTTTTCTGTAATGGCCTTCTATTGTACCATCTAGAATATCCACTGTAGGAAGGCAAGGCTTGTATCTTCACCATTATATACATGGAGCCAAGCACGTTATAGGTGCTTGGTATCTATTGAATATATGAATAATGAGCTCATAGAAAAGTATCTGGAAAAGGGACTGATTTGTGAGACTTTATGAGTTCTGAAAATTCAGAAAACTTGGAATTACTTCTTAAACTTGCAGGTGATCCCTTGCAAAATGTATGTTTTTAAGGCCTTCCTTTTAAAATGTTTGCCTTTTAACTTACCTTGTGAATGATGCATTGAATTTGGAAATTATAGCTACTAGTGGATGTGTGGAATTTTTTAGAATTCATCCATTTGCATTTTTCTCCTTATTATGTTATGGTAGTATTTAAAGGCAACATTAAGTTGTTTTGCTTGTAATATGTATGAATTATATACAAATCATAATGGTAAAAAAAAAAAAAGAAAAGACTGCGCCCATTTCTCAGGAACAAGCAGACCCACATTAGCCAAAATGTGAAAACCAGAAGGACTAAAAGGATTGAAATACCAGAGAATTTATTAATATAATACCTGACATCAGTAAGCTGAAGGACGATGTGTAGGAAACTTAACAGTCCTTGGTGAGTCATTATTCTTTAGTAAATGGGGATAAAAATATCTAATTTCAAAGATAACTCTGCAAGAGTGAATAAGCTACATCACTCCACATTTCTATACTGAATTTAGAAGCCATATGGAGGTTTGTTATTTAAATAAAAACAGTATTTAAAAATAACATTTCAGGGCTTCCCTGGTGGCGCAGTGGTTGAGAGTCCGCCTGCTGATGCAGGGGACACGGGTTCGTGCCCCGGTCCAGGAAGATCCCACATGCCGCAGAGCGGCTGAGCCCGTGAGCCATGGCCGCTGAGCCTGCGCGTCCAGAGCCTGTGCTCCGCAACGGGAGAGGCCACAACAGTGAGAGGCCCGTGTACCGCAAAAAATAAATAAATAAATAAATAAATAAATAAAATTTAAAAAAAATAAAAATACCATTTCAGATATTACTAGATCTTTATTAAAGTATCATCAGTACAAAGTACAGATGTGCTATGAAGTGAATTGTTTCCACCAGTATCTATTTCCTCTATTTTTTTTTAAATCTCTAGTCAAATATTACCTTCCACCTCAGATTCCTCAGAATCTTCCAATTATAATAACAAGGATATCCTAGAGTTTTCAACGTAGGGTTCGAGATGGGTCTACTCTGCTGCGTTCTAAGGATAGCAGAAATATATTATAGCAAGTTCTCATGGCTTTTTGCCCATTTATTGGAGTATAGAGTAAAGAAAGAAAATACTCTTTTCACACTTTGAAATGAGGACCTTTGCTCCATAGAGCTTTCCTTAGTATGTGAAAAGTTAAAATAGAGAAAATAAAGTGTTCTCATACTTTCTACATTGAAATAACAACAGAAATAAAAATTCTGTCCTGTTGGGGCATTTTCGAGTTTCCAGCCTTTGGTTCAGTTTAAAACATAATTTTGGTGCCAAGAGATTTCATGGTCCAGTGGAAGGGAGAGAATCAGAGCCCATCACTGGTTCTGGGTAATCTGGATAATCTTGGATGAGGTTTAAAGTATTCAATTGGATCTGGATTGGAATATAGGATTATGCAGCCAATATTTTGTTTAAAACCCATGTCTTTAAAATTAATTGTATAAATTCCCTTCTTATATTTCAGAAAAAAGTCCAGATCATGTAGCATAAGTGCTAGCTAGCTACAAACTGAAGTTCTCATCACGGCATTGTGTTGCCTGCACATCCCTCAGAAAATGAAGATGTTAAAGCTGCAATGATACTTGTAAATTACCCAGAGAAAACAGATAAAAACTGTGCTTTGTCCTCAAGTAGCTAAAAAATTCAAAACAAAGACTCACTTTCACCTCAAGTAGTAGGGCTAATTAGAGCCTAAAATAGGTTTGGCTTCAATTCTCTAGACAATCTACTGTGTGTTTATTTAGTCTGAAATTAGAAGCTTAAAAATAAATCAACTTTCAAGTAAAAGCTAAATGACTTTGAAAACCAACTTCCAGAAGTGTTAGACTTTAAAATGACCTCTTTGAGTGGCCTATGTGTAAATATATTTAATAAACATTGGTCTTATTTACTTTAGATTTGCACCTCAAAACTTAAAAATATTAATAAATTCAAAAGAAGCTTCCTAACCTGCCTATCACAAATTCACATTCTTGACAAATTACACACACACACACACACACACACACACACACACACACACACACACACACACACACACACACACACACACACACACACACACACACACATGCACGCACACATACTGTATGCCCCCATCTTTCTGCTTACCTTAGTCTCAGGGAAGCACTCATAACAATCTTCACTGTGTAGGACTGTCAATCTCAATTTTGTCTGCACTTTACAATCACCTGGGGAACTAAAGCTCTGGCTATACTGAGCACCAATTAAATCAAAGTCTCTATAGTTGGGACCCAGGCCTCACGTTTGTGAAACTCCCCAGGTGAATCCAATATACAGCCAACATTGAGAACCACTCTTGCAGGAGTTAGTTAGTTTTTCTACAGAATGCCTGAAAACCACCAAAAGCACCCAATTTTTTTCTTATCATTCTCACTCTCAGTTTTTCCCCTTTGGTTGGTTTATCCTCTCATATGCTTAACTGAATTCCATCACTCTGAGTGTAAAAAAGTCAGGAAAGAAAATAGTCCTACATCATTTCAATTTTTTAATTCACTTATTCAATCAATAAATATTTTCTATATATCTTCTACATAAGTCCAGGCTTTACAAGAACTTATTAAAGCAGCAGGCTTTCCCTGAGGGACCTCACAGCATAATAGGGAAGATGGTCAGGAGCAAAGTACATTCCAGTGTTGGTTGATGAGCGCTGAAGCTGAGGTACAGTGGGGACATAAAGAACTGTTTTCCTTGTAGGCATCAGGGACCGCATTGCAGAAAGACTGCATTTGAGTTAGTCAGGAAGGTGGAGCAGGTGGCCTAAGTAAACAGAGGGGGAAGTGGAGTGGCATTCCAGGCAGAGAGAAAATCTGCATAAAGGCATAGAAGCATGAACAAGTCCAGTGAGTCAGGAGCCTTAACTAGTTTGGTGTGGCTGGAGGGCAGTGGTGTGTGTGTGTGTGTGTGTGTGTGTGTGTGTGAGTAGGGGTGGAAATTGTGGTATCTAAGGTTGGAGGAGAAGGCAGGAGAAAGTGCCCCATGCGTCAAAGATGAATTGAGCCTGGAATTAGCCCATGATGTTACTATGTAAATTTATTATATGTTTTAAAAATTCCATTGACCTTTAGGAAACGGGATTACTGTAGAATATCTATCATCTTGATGAATATCTTGGAATACATTTTATTATTAAACCACGTGTTTGTGTGTATGAAATTAGAGCACTAGTGTGGAAAACAAAGAGCATACTTGACAATAAGAAATCAAGTAATTATTCTGATTTTAAATTTGCAATTGAATTAGAAGGTAGAAAGTGAGAAAGAAAATGAAGTCCTTTTAGACTTTGGATATTGGGTGACCTGGTTGTGATTATTGTCTTCAATCACAAATCACACACGGAGAAGACACAGGAGCACATTTGTAACATCTTCCTTAACATAAAGGATACGTGCGTATGGGTGGCTAAACTAGTAAAAGTTCTCTGTACTTCGATTTAGACTACCCTTATCATTTCCTCT